TAATTGACTTAATCAGGAACATCTCAATAAATCAAAAGGAAAGATAGCATGTTAGGCTTAGGAAAAAATGTTCTTGGAAAGAAGGAGCTGCATGGTGCCCTTTGAAACTCTACTTCCTCGATGCCAGCTCACATTTTGTTGGGCTTGATAAGTATTAATGAATAAGTTTTCAGTGGAGGAACTCACGCTGACCCCTCCCAGGAGGAAGGAGGTGCCAGGACAGAATCGCCATGGCATGAGAGACAAAAGCTTTTTAGAGCTGTCTCTAGTATCTAGATGAGAGGCTTTTACACTTAAAAATATTCTTCCCCTGGCATTTTAAGCAAATCTTTCTGCTCAAAAGGAGACACAGGAGGTCAGCTGAGCTTCTCTGGTGTCAATAATTCCGGGCCACACAAGGCACAGAGACAGGAAGAGTAGTTGATGCACTTACTGTGTATCACATCTAAGGGGGTTCTAATCAAATGATTTTGTTCAAATAAAAAATTCTGAGACTTTCAAAACGCACATTCACATTCTCCTCTCTCTCTCTCTCTCTCTTTCTCTCTCTCTCTCTCTCCCCTTTCACACAGACACAGGGCATAATGAGATGTGCTGAATCTGAATCGCTTCAGCTCTTTGGAAGGTGCATACCTGTGGACTGTGGTAAAACCTTAAGCATTGCCGGTAGATATAGGATTAATATCATTGTGGGGAGAGGTACAGATTGGAAATAAAACTGCATCTTATTCCAGCAAAAAGCCTCTCTCTCTTTGGGACACTGCAGGCAAAAAAGAACTGCAGAACTTTGGCTGCCTGGGAATTGGGCCCAGTCAAGCATGATTTCCCAGAGAGCATTCTTTTCAAACCTGACAGTAGGTAGGTGCTGCTCCTGGGATAGAAAGGTCTGTGCTTTGGTGCGTGAATGGCTGTATACGCTCAGCCTCTGATCCTTCCGGAAGTCTCTGAGGAAGAACATAATGTCTGAGCTGTTCTTTGAAGTACCAGGAGAACCCAAAGACTGCCGCTGGAAAAGTCACACACTGAAGACAACCAGGAAACCCCATCCATGCCCTGCACTAGACAGTATGGCCTGAAATAACTTTTAAGTTAAAAAAAAAAAATCCTGGCTCTAATGAAAATAACACAGTGGCTATAGTTATTTGAAGAATAGCTGTATATTTATAATTCATTGCTTGTGAGCTCAAGTCACCAATTTATATAACAGCTCCTAGCCATGGAAATAATTTGCTTAATTACGATTAACACTAAACTATGGTGCCTTGGAACATGGTAAAATAATTTCTTAGGAGAGTTTTCAAACTGGCAGAATATTTGCATACTCTTTATTCCATAATGCAAGCCCGGCATTAATTGCCTTCTCTAAAGATCATTTCAGCATCTTTTCTAAGTGTAGCGATTCCCCATACAAATAATACCAGCAGGCTTCATCATGCTGCTCTTAAAATGAGGTCACTTTTATCAATATCCTCCATGGCAGTGGCTAATTAACAAGCAACAATTCTGACTTTTCAAAAGGTTTTCTCTTCATAGCACCAAAGCTCCTTAGTAAGCATTTCTCATAGAACCTCTCCTCCACTTCACTACCTGTAGCTCCTTTCAGGGCAAGTCAAAGGTGCCTCTCAAGGTCAAACTCAGGGCTCACTAGTTCCCCTGATTTGATCCACTCTTGCTCACCACAAAACCTCCTCCTTCTCATCTGAACTGCATCAAAACACTGTATTGAACTGTCATTGGAGGGGTCAAGTACAAATGAAACCCCTCCCACCTAGAAAGCTGGAAACCCAGTACCAATTCTGTTGCAGCTACTGGAATCTCTCCAACTCCTTCCAGGTCCAGATAAGAAATGTTCCACAAAGTTGAGGAAGAAATACTTCCTGTCTCTATGTTAATGCTTGGTCATGGGTAATCCACAGAGAAACAGGCTAGGCCCCAAGTGTTATAGTTTTTTCACTGCTCAGCTTTTTGGAATTGATAAATGTTCACACATTACTTCCATGGGCAAGCCTCACTGATTCAGGGCAGAGAGGAATGCCTACCAGTTGCATGTTGGGTCTAAAAAGACAGGGACCTGGTGTTCTATCCAGCAGTCAGGTCTCAATCAGATCCACCCCATCCGCAGGGCACATTGTTTCTGAAAAAAGACAGGCCCAGTTCTATCCAGTAATCCTGTCTCAGCCAGATCTAGCCCAGTTGGTCAAACACCTTATCACATTGGGGCTACCTGGGGAAGGGGGCTAAGGTGGGGAGAGAGAAGACACACATTTCTGGATATTTTGAAGGTGAAGGGAACCACCCCAAAACATGCAGCAGTAAACATCAAATTCCAACAAATATTTGGAGCAAAGAGTGACATCAAGCCCTCCTAGTAATAGATTAGGAGCAATAGCCACAAATCCAGACAAAAGATCTTGTTATACTTGTTTTTAACATGTACATTTTTTCTAAATGCCTGTTCCCAAGTATTACATCTAAAATTGCACAGATAGCAAGCTATTTCTACAATAAAGGAGCTCCTGAATTATAAAATTATAAATTAGTTTTATGTTACCTGCTCTTCCTGGTAGATCATTATGTATCTATCTGAAGAATGTACGGAATAGCATAGTTTTATGTCTATTCTATAACAGTGTGTACCAAACCTTTAATTTCTTCTAAATGCAAAAGCAATTAAATGGGCTTATTATACTTCACCTATTTGTTCTTATATAATATGCAATACACTTAAAATGCCTGTGTGCCCTTCTGTTGAATCCAGACTTATTCATGATGTGATTTCATTGTTCATCCCCTGCTCTACTCATTGAGAGTGGTGCACACTGTATGAGATCACTGAATAGTCGAGAAAGAAAAGCTTCATTATTTCTGAAGCACTCTGAGAGTAACTTACGCGCTTTAGATCAGTGCTTCCCAAACCTGGATGATCAACAGAATTTCCTTTAGAGATTTGTTTTTTAGTTCAGTCAGCTGGGCTCCATCTTGGGAGATTCTGATTGAGTGGACACATGACTTTTTCAACCGAGTCAGTTCTGATGTTCACGATTACTGCTCTATCAGAGAGCAATCTCAGAACACAGTGAAGCACCACTCAGGCTCCCTTCAGAAACTGAGGATCTATTTCCCCCAACTGCCGTCAGTGCTGCTGACAAAGAGGCCTAACACTGCCCGCTGAAGAAATTGTCTAATCGGAAGAGGGCTGTTTCACGCAGGGCCTGCTGCACCAGGTCAAGCACCAAGTGCAGTCAAGCACCAAGGCTCAGCCCCTTATCCCACCCGAAGGTGAGGAGGGTCATCTCACCTTCAGACCTCCCCGTGGGGCTGCCTAAGGTCTGCAGTGGATCTGCTTTGCAGCTGGTCTCCCTGCACTTGGCTCCTTCCAGGGGCTGATCCTAAGGACACTCCCTCAAACTGCTGCTTGCTATTCCCCCTTTTCCCAGTCAGCTTCCTGCCCTGCCCCCCCAACAATTATTTTATTAGAGCTAGAATGTCAAAATGGAGCCCTCCTTAAGGATTCTAAAGAAATTTCTCCTCAACTGGAATACAATCCCAATTGCAAGAAGGAAACAAACTTTAATCCCCTCCAAGCTCCCCGAAAGAAACCCAGCCGGCTTGGCTGCTGCTTTTTGTCAATCATTTGCTCACAGCTCCCCACCTACCATTATGCATTCTTTCCTACAGTGATACCTTCTCCTCTATTTCTCTAATCCAAACCCCCATTCCTGTCATTGCTACTCAAGACTGCACTCTTCTTTGGAGGTTTGCCACTTAATTTTTTCAATACTTATTTATAAAAGCATATGCAAATCTCTGGCATAGTTATGAATTTCCTTATATATTAGTTTCTAGTCTATGGAGAGATAATATGTTCCTAGAGAGAAGAAAACCAAAGCTTTTGTTTTGTTTCATGTTTGTTTTTGTTTTGCTTTGTTTTAACAAGGTGCCTACTGAGTGAGCACGAGACTAATGATTAATTTCCTACCATGAGTCCTTGTTCTCTCTAGACACTGATCTTACCAGGCTTTCTGAAAGATTGAGTCATACACACACACACACACACCTGAAAAATAACCCCTTTTCTAAGTATAATGACTTATTTAAATGTTCAAATTGTAATTACCTTTCTTAGAGCAAATTTATTTTTACAACTTGTTACTATGACTTCCGTATATGTTTGAACTGAAAAGGTTTTTATTTAATGTTTTAATTTACTTTATGTAGTAAATTAATTTTTATTTCTATGATGTTTTAATTGTTATTAGCTCTTTTCTTAATATCTGAGTTATAGTTGCAGTTGTGTTTTTACAGTAATGTGCATTGCTGTTGAGCTATAGTGTTCCTGGTTTGGAAGAATGGCAGAACAAAACATCACTTTTTCCTTAAAAAAAGGTGCTGGAGGTAATCTGAGAAGATTTGAATACACTCATCCTTCACACATTTTGGCATTTTGGACAGTTATTTGATCTGTCTGTTTTCCATGCACTTTACTGCAAAACAGAGATGAAAATAAAGCATGCCCTTAATAATGTAGCCCACTCTGGTTTTGAAGCATTTCTTTTTTCCATTTTTTCCTATACGTCGTTTTTTAAAGGATTTTCCAATTTTATTTAAATGAATTCAAATAAAAACTTAAGAACTTAGATTTACATACATTACAGGAAGGTAAATGCATAAAAAAATTAAAGTGAGTGTAGGTTGTATAGATAGCTCAATCTCTATCATATAAAATTTAAATCCAAAGATGAAACACTTGAAGCTATTTACAGCAATGTAGTATTCTGACTTCAGAGACTGGAAAAACATTCAGACAAGTAAAATCTCAAAACTCTCAACCCTGAAACTTATCAGTAGATACAAGAAATCTTCAAGGCACATTCAAGTTTTCTAGAAAAGAAGTTTAATAAAAAAATTTTAAAAAACAACAAAACTAAGACTACTAAAACTTCAAAAGCACTTACCAGAGTCTCTATAGTATTTTTGCTGATGTGTCAATCTGAGTGAGATTAGCCTTGAGCCGAGGTAAGCTCAGCACCAACACTGGCTTCTTCCTGTAAATCATAGCCAGCAGTGCATTCTGACTCAGTTGGAGAATTTTGTTCTAGTTCAGCATGTGCACCAGAGCTTTCGCTCTCTGTTGTACCGTTTTTATTGATGGCAATGCCTTCATAGAGAGCTGCATCCATAACCTCCGAGGTCTTTTTGGTGCTGAGTTTGGTGGTATTGTTGGTGGCAATATTTGGAAGCTCTGGCCAGGTTTCAGCACCAACTGTGATGGTCACCTCTTGAGCAAACCATAAAAATACTAGAAGAAAACATACACAGTAAAATCCCAGACATTTCTCTTGGCGGTATTTTTTCCTGATATATCTCCATGGGCAAGGGAAACAAAAAAATAAGCAAATGGGACTATATCAAACTAAAACCTTTTTACACAGCAAAGGAAACCATCAATAAAAGTAAAGGACAACCCACTGAATGGGAGAACATATTCCCCAAATGATACATCTGATAAGGGGTTAATCTTCAAAATTTATAAAGAAGGTATACATCTCAACACTAAACAAATAAACAAAAAACACCACCAAACAATTCAATTAAAAAATAAGCAAAGGACCTGAATAGACGTTTCTCCAAGAAGGACACACAGATGGCCAATAGACAGATGAAAAAGTGCTCAATGTCACTAATCGTCAAAGAGATGCAAATTAAAACAACAATGAGATATCACCTCACACCTGTCAGAATGGTACCATCAACAAATCAACAAACAAGTGCTGGCGAGGGTGTGGAGAAAGGGAACCCTCATGAACTGTTGGTGGGAATGCAGACTGGGGCAGCCACTGTGGAAAGCAGTATGGTGGTACCTCAAAAAATTAAAAATGAAACTGCGTTATGACCCAGTGATTCTATTTCTGGGAATATATTCAAAGAAACTAGAAACAGATTCAAAAAAATATATTCACCCCTATTTTACTGCAGCATTATTTACAATAGCCAAGATTTGGAAACAGCCCAAGTGCCCATCAGTAGATGAGTAGAAAAAAGATCTGTAGTACATTTACACAATGGAATACTACTCAGCCAAAAAAAAAAGAAAGAAATCTTACCTTCTGTGACAGCATGAATGGGCCTGGAGAATATTATTCTAAGTGAAATAAGCCAACCAGAGAAAGACAAATACCATATGATTTCACTCATATGTGGAATCTAATGAACAAAATAAACTAACAAACAAAATACAAACAGACTCATAGATACAGAGAACAGACTGACAGCTGTCAGAGGGAAGGGGTTTGGAGGGGCTAGGTGAAAAAGATGAAGGAATTAAGCAAGAAAGTCAAACCTCATAGACACAGACAATAGTAAGTTATTTACAGTTCTGAATAAATCATTATTTATTATAAGGGGTTTGATTCATGAAGTTGCACATCTATTCCTTAAAATACACCTGCCAAATGAAACAAAAAGAAAATATGAATGGGGAGGTTCATGAAGGTTAACTACCTGGTAACTGGCACATGGTCAACTCATAGCAAAGGTGAGCTCTTGTTGGCATTCAAAACTATCTCCACCCAGCGTCATTCATCACTGTTGATATGATGTTTCAGAGTATGATACACAAGAAACCCAGTCACAGTGTGTTTACTCTTAACTCTCAGAAGTGGAAATAGCTGGGTTGGGGAGAGGAGTATATCAAACATGGCAGTTGGTTAAATACTGCAGATTTTCTCTTATCTTTGCAGAAAATCATACACATTGGTGGTTGAGCAGTTAAGTGTAAAAACTAGTGGTTTTAAACCATGGTGGTTCATCAGAGTAACTTGTGGAGATTTTTTAAATGTACTTTCCCATTTTACTTAGAGATTCAAATTTAGTTGGAATAGCATGAGTCTCAGGTATCTGTATTTTTAAATTTTCTAGGTGATTTCCATGTGTGTCTAGGGTGACAAACCATGGTGAAACTGGTAGGTTGAAATTATTGGCATTATTAAGTTGGTCATGGGGAACAAAAGTATGATAATGCTTGGAGTTTGGAATAGAATAATATCCTCTGAAAATTAAACTACAAATGGACACATAATATATTGGGGCCAATAGGTGACTGTACCTTAATGTAGCCATTACTACCTCTAGAGAAAGCATATATCTACTAGGAAAAGTGCTAATAATTAATGGAAGAATAAAAAATGGAGAGTAATAAAAGAAAGGCACAGTGTTTTTGCATCTGTAATGCAGCAGAGAGAAAATGTTTACCAGGAACATCAAAAGCTAGAATTTTATTGGAAAGGGCATGCCTTCAGGGAAAATAAGTGTATAAGCTATAACCTTTACCAAAAGCCTTACTTCAGTGTCTAATCTTATCCTGATATCATTGAAATTCTACTTCTGGACTTTACTATGTCCTGATTCTATGATCACCCAGTAATCCACTGATATTTGACACACTACAGGGGGGAAGTCTTCATGTTAAGCTGATGTGAGTAGTTTTTCCACTTGATAAAATTCTTACTGTAAATTAAAACACATACATTCACAATGTACACAGTAGGTCTCCAATGAACTTGGTAAGTCGAAGAATCCCAGAGTCTGATCCAATCTAGGAAACAGACAAGATGAGTTCTGAGGACCAGAACTCAGGTGGTGTAAACCTCAAATTGGGCGTCTCTGCACAGAATGGGTTTCTTTGTTTACCAAGGGACAAACATCCCTCTGTTTTACAACCATTCAACTTTGCTGTGAGAGATTCACCAGAACTGGCAAATAACTACCTGAACCAATAGGAAAGAAAGCCTCACCTCCATGTCTAATCTTTTAGGGCAGGAAGTTTTGTGAAATCATTGCATGTTTATAGCTTTCCCTCAGTCTTTCAATTGGTCTATTTAATTGTTGAAAATACACTCTTTAAAACTTCCATAATATTGTGTTTGACAGTGATGTGAGCAAAATCACTAACCCTGTCGCCAGTGAGTAACAAAAGAAGCGGGTTTGATCGATCAGAAAAGCATCAGTGTTGACTTTATTCCACTATCAGGAAAACCAATCTGTAAAGTGCTATCAGTAGAAGAGGTAAAGGAGTGCTGAGTGAGAGGAAAATAAGAGATTCAAAAGCCCCATTTAGTAATTCTTTAGTTTACAAGTAACCAAAGATATGAAAATGAGGAAAGAATATTTGGCTACTTCTGAAATATTTAGAGACATTGGTCTTAAGCACATCTCTTCTGTTAAAATGTTTTGATAGTAATATAAGTGCAGGTAAAATCAAGTTAAAAATTCACAATTCAAAAAATAACTGAATAAATAAAAATAGAGACATCTAAACTGAGGTTCAAAGAATATAAGTAAGGAATAATGTTGTTCCAAAAGGCAAAAAAATAAAAATGGAATGCATTGTAAGGACAATAACAGCTAAACCCTGAAACCAAATGACTATTCATTTGGGTGAGAGAGAAGATAAAGTTATTTTAATACCTCATTCATCTACTCACCTTTGTCATTTAAACATCTCCGAATGACTCTGTCATCATTGGTGTTTCTGTCTCTCTCTCCCTCTGCTGCCCTCTCTCTGAAATCAATAAAGATCTATATAAAAAATAAGCAAATAAATAAATAAACATCTCCTACCAGAGACAATGTGACAGACAATTAAAAACAAACAACTATATTCTGTTTTTTATTACCTTTTATAAGGAATTGATTCCTTTCTGGTGCCTCAAGTTGCCAGGACTGTCCAGAGTTCCTTTCCCATGAGCTTGGGCACACAGAGGCTTCGAGACAAACAACTGGTGCTGCTTGTTTTTCCCTATAGTGTGACCCAAGTAACTACATTCTACTGATAAATGAGTAGATATGTATATGCATGTACATGTGTGTGTGTGTATGTTTGTATATGTGTATATACATATATGAATATATATGTCTATTATGACAGATATAATTTTGTAGAAAATGAAAGAAATATAGAGAATAAAATCTATCATATTCCCTTAAGCCAGAAGTATATTTATTTTTTTGGTTATTGCAATGAACATTTTAATAAAATACTTTTCGCTTTTAAACATGTACATATACCTGACCTGGAACAACTTTTGTCAGGCAGATTAAAGCACTCCAAAGAGGTTCTTGCCTTTTGAAGGGAGAGTTTTGCAACCTGCTTAAGAATCTAAGTGCTATCTTGTTCAGAGTTTCATCTTCCAGTCACTGTGCAGACCTTTACTTTAAAGAATAGCCTTAGCTATGAGGGCAGGACACAGTCTGTGGTCACTGATGGATCATCCTCTCAGCCCTATTTGATAAAAATATAGAGCAAATATGATGTAAAAATGGCACATTTGAATAATCTTTTCTCAAAATTGATTTTCTGAAGAAGGGTCTTAAAAGTCTGTGTGATCCCCCTTTTGACACAAATAAAAGATGCAAAAATGTGAGGCTATTTTTAGCCCATTACGAGTATACAAAAAATGCATTCATTACTTCCTACATACATCTACTTAAAGGCGGCCGCTGCAGGGAAAAAGAAATGCTACTCCTTAACGAAAGGCTGCACTTTACCCTCTCCAGGCTTGAATCTTTTGCAAGAACTTTTATATATTTCACTTAAACATCAGTTCTTATAAATACACTGTAGAGTTTTGCACCCACATTAAAAAGTCACAGCAGGGAAAAAAAAAATGGAAAAGATAAGGGATATTTTTTACCTATAGGAGTGAAAAGTTAGAGAAGGTCAATGAGATTGTTGCTTAACCTTCCAAATTCTTCTTATCATAAAATAGAAATGGGTCATAATCATCACCATAAAGTCTTTATTTTGTGGCAAATGTTAAGCACTGAACAACATTCAATTTGATTTAAAAGCATTTTTGAGTATGTATTATGTACAAGGACTATGTTATGTGATATAAGGGATATAAAGGATTTAACAAACTGATTTGGGAACATAAAACAAATGCTTTATCAGTCTAATGCCAGGTAGTGAAATAACTGGTGTCTGTCCAAGGGCATTCAGAGGAAGCAGAGAATGTCAAGGGGTAGGGGCTTACAGGATGCTCCGTGAGGATAATGCCATGTAACAGAAGATCAGAAGAAAGGATTAGGCTACGAGAGCGTGGTCATTTCAAGCCAGTGGTGTAAGTGAGAGAGCATGAAAGCAGGAGGGAATGAAAGAGGTGTGAGTGCATGGAAGGCAGAAACGGCCACTATTATATTTCCACCTTCTACCCTCCGGGAAACTTTGATTAGTCAATGCAGTAAGTCACTCTTTTTTTTACATCACTTTAAATCCAACCTAAGGAGAAACTAAGCAGT